TCAGAACAGTTTTGTTAACATTAGTCAATTTGCATTCACAGCTGCATTCAATTGAGATCACTGGCTGCTTTTTGCAAGATAGAAAATATAGATTAGTGATGGCAGATGTTTCCTAAGGCTACACTCTAGACAACTGAAGGCAAAAAATATCCAGTGACCCATAGACTAAAATTGGCTTCATTTGATTAACAAATTGTGTGTAGTCAATCTTCATTATAGTATTCAAGAGTCATCTACGTATACAGGTCTTGGGATAAAATAATGTAGTGATTCGATGCACAGAGAAAGAATTTGTTAGAAATGCATGTGCTTGACTATTGGGATTATTTTGATTAATAGGCATCTACTTCCTGTAACTATCCTAAATGTTTCTAACAGAAAGAGCATAAATGTCTTTTGTAAAATTCTTTGGAGAAATATTCTGCATTTTTCTCCCCATTAATTTGACCTGGGATGGTCTATGCTGGAAAAAAAAAAAATCTTTAAGCAAACATATTAAATGTTTACCTATATAAATGTTATTACTTTAGGTGACTCTGATAATATAACACATGTGTGGAGTGAGGATGATGGACAGATACTATCTCCAAGCAGTCTGGCTGCACAGTAAGTCTTCGTTTGTTTGTTTCTAAATTGGTAGGTAACGTGGTAAAAAAACAATCAAAACAGTTCATAAACATAATTCTCTTACTATTGTGTAAAACCATGAAATCCAAAAATCAACTACTGAATGGGCAAAGGAAAGGACATAGTTGAAGTGTCATAAAGTTGAAATTTATTTATTTTTTGGTATTATTCCATGATACTTGTGGATTATACAACATGAGGATCTCTTTTTCAGTTCTAAGATTGCATAACTAAATGTAATCTGTCACGTCTGGCTTGGTTACCTTGTGCTGTCAGGAGAATCTAGCTGGAGGTCTAGTTGCCAACTCTTTTAAGGTCTTTCACCATGAAAAATGTATGAGCATCTGTCTTAGTCTGTCCAGTCTGGTAAAACAAAATACCATAAACCAGGCAGATTATAGACAATAGCAATTAATTTTTCATAGTTCCGGAGGCTGGAAAGTCCAAGATCAAAGCATGAGGAGACTCAGTGTCTGGGGAGGGCCTGCTTTCTGGTTCGTAGGTGGTATTTTCTTGCTGTGTCCTCACATGGTGGAAGCGGCAAGCCAGCTCTCTGGGGTCTCTTTTATACAGGCATTAATCTCATTCATGAGAGTCTGCTCTCTTTACCTATTCACGTCCCCAAATCCCCACCTCCTAATACTGTCATACTAGGGATTAGGAGTTTAACATATGAATTTGGGGAGGGCACAAACATTCAGACCATAGCAGTAACCGATTTTTCACATTACTATTTCTTTTGGTTTTTAAAGAATCAAAATATTTTTTAATGCCCAATGAAGGTAATGAAAATTTTGTTTGCTCTTAGTGATATTCAGGTAGGCAAAACTGTTTATAGGCAACAATTTTGGACTTTTATTGGGTTATGTGAAGTCCCAGGAATAGGTAGTGGAAATAATAGCAGGAACAATGGTGTCTAAAGACCATTAATGTAAGCAGATCCTTGAAGTCAGTATAATAATGATGGTAGGAAATGCAAGCTATTGCTTGCAGTAGCTGATTGAGCGAAATTCCTAGAGTTCAAGGCAAATTTAGAGACTAAAGGACCTGTTAGATAAAGGTTGCTTTAGCCTGTACATTATACTATTGAAATTTTTTTACTTTGATCCCAAAAGGTATATTATTGTGCTAATGGAAATTTTATGTACAAATAGCAGTACTTATTTTTAAACCATTCATTTCTTTTTCTAAAATAAAATCTATGTAGTTGTTTGTAAACTCTCTATAATGAGTTCTCCAACTCTGAGTAAATTCTAGGCAAAATCCTTACATAAACAACTACTTCCTGTTTCTGTTCCATCTCCCTTGTTCACTAAGGTGGCTAACCCAGGTGCTCCTCTCTTGGGCAATTTTCCCTTAGCCAGGCTGCCAAATTCCAAGTAGTTGTGTCTTTTAAACATCCTATATAGCCATCAAAATAATAATAAAAAATACCTTTAAATTGAGATAACTGGATGCTTATTGCTGAAGCCAGGTATGTTTATCAGAGCCTGGGGCACCCGTAGCATTGGCAATGCCAGCACCACAGACCTGCAAATTCCATAGCAAATGTAGTTAGCTGCTGACAGCCAGCTGACAGTTTATTAGGAAGAATTCAATACTTTTAAGATGGCTCTTGTTGTGATTGATGAAATTAAGGGATTTCTTATCTTCAGACTTCCTTTCCATTCCTGCTTTAAAATAATCACAGAGTGGCAGTACGGGCATAAGATAAAAGTTTTCTGAGCCAGAATTTTCTAAAGGAAGCTACTCAAAAACACTTTTCCCTCATAGCTCTTCCCTTTCCTCATTATTTTTGTTCTGAGGGCATTATCTTTACTGTTCTGTATTTGTGTGTGTGTGTATGCACATGAGTGTGTATGTTCATAAGCTCACCTTTTATTGTAAACACTCTTGGGAAGTAGGTAGGATTTTGTATAAAGGATGCATCGATTAAATGACTTAAAGGAGTAATTGAGTGCTTATGCCAAAACGGTGGCACATAGATATGGAATCTTAATTTTGGGAGTATATCAAATCCATTCCCCAAAATCTTGGTAATCACATGTTCTTTATGTAACTTAGAGAATGGCTTAGATGATATTTCAAGGTCAATTCTAGCCCAACTGTCCTCTATTTTAAGCTTGACAATATACCATGGGAATATTTTATTCCAGTCCATCTGGAAGATTAGGCCAATATTTTACTGTGAGCACTGCACCGGGTAGAAATTGCTCTATGCTATAATAACTATGACAGGGAGGAGGACAAACACGAAAGAAGGAAGGGCAATGTTGGGAAGAGTGGGGAAAGGTGAGAGAGGTAAGGGAGAAGCACCTCACTGAGGCAGGGGAACCACTCCACACGTGCCCATCCAGAGATGCCTCACTGGGCACTTCTCAGATAAATGGCCAGTGTCTCTGCAGCTTCCTATATCTCTTTTGCTGATGTATTTATCCTTTCAACAGCTGTTAAGTCTTTGATGTACAAAACAAAAATGCTAGATATTCTGTGATAGGGATGGAGTCAGGGTGAGCAGGGAGTCATCCTGCTCAAAATTAAATGGATCATTCTTTCCAGTTGCTCACAGAAGAAATAAGATATCTTGAAACCTATGCTTATTACTGTAGCAAGTAAAATCAATGGTTATTTCCCCTCCCCATGGAAAAAAATAGATGCAATAAATTTACAATTATACCCCTAATTCCACTTGTTTCTTCTTTCATGTTTTGGATTCTCAAATCCCGTCTTCTAGTTTATCTTTACAATCTTCTTTCTGACACTGCTCCCTACTTCCCTCGATATTCTTACAGATATCATATATTCCAAAATGCTTGCTCAGGGCTTTTTGTCTTTGGTTAGTGCTCTGAGTACATTGGTCATTATTATACAGACCTTGACTTGACTTGATTCAACTTAACTTGCTGATGTCATAGGTGGTGATAAAGTCCATGAAACTTGACGATATGCAGGCATGACTTGATATTATATTGGTAATCTGTACAAGAGGGTTGGTTTCGTCATATATCACACTCCTGTTAGATTTTTAATAGTTATGATGTGATTTAGAAATTTGCCTGATAGATGGTTTCTTTTATCTAGGACAGAAAACTTAATCTAAGAA